TCTTAGTACAGTACAGTCCCCCCCCACCCACCCCCTCTTTCGGTCTCACCTCCACATAGACATCCCCCGCTCAGCAGAAGTAGGAGCAGCAGACCGCAGATTTCCACTCTTCCTCCCATCTTCTCCTCGTCGGGAACTCGTTCGCGTTGTCGTAACAGTTCGCGAAATAAAAGCGGTAGCAGTAGTTGTTGTTGTTGTCTTCCGGGCGTTTGTCCCCGCAGTGGCTCATGCTAAACACAAAGCGGTGTCGTCCCTTGTTGCTGTGACCATAACGTCCAACGTTCCCGCTAAAGATAAAAAAGTGTTGTAAAGTACGCAGAGATTCGACCTTTTACCGCCGACGAGTCGCATATTCCGCAAGTAAAACCCAGAAGTATAGGCAGTAGTTTCTCTTTAACGAAATTCGTCCTCTCCGCCCAGAACTGCTGGACACTCGTCCGCTTGTAAACTCCAACACCTAGAACGTTTACTTTACCGGAAGCTTCCCCTGCTCTCCCGGGTCACTTCAAAATAAAAGACCTGTATCGCGCCCGTCAATCAACACTCAAGAAAGTACATATTGTATCTTCGTACTACAAGTTAGCGATGTGAATTCGCGTCTTACAACCTACGGGTTTTGTAAGAGGTTTAGGTAAGAAAAAAAATAATTACTTTAATCTCAGTAACGCGTAACTAAAACCTGTGTCGTGCTGTGAACAGCTGATTTTAAACACATTACTTTGACAACTAATTAGCCGCGTCCAAAATTACTGCTTAAATGTTAATTTTTTTTTAGTGAATTGCGACTTCTTGAAAGATCACGAAACATGGCGCCATTACTTTAAATAGTACTTGTTTATTATTTTTTTTCCCTATTATGTCGAGGATCGACGATTTATTGTAAAAGAAAAAAAATCTAAAAACATATTTGCTTTTTTTTAAAAAAAATCATTGTCTTTTACTTTGAAAAACAAAACTAGTTTCCTGTTTCTGTTCACGTGACGAGAATGAATTCCCGGCTGGGAGGTAACTACCCTGTTCCCTATTCCCCCATGTAAGGGTGAGTCCACACTTCCAAGTTCGACCTCCTCCTATTTACAACATTGTAAAATCGTATGTGTCCAGAATGTGGCGGGAGCTAGTTTTGATACAAAAAAAAAAAAAAAATTGGGACCAAAACATGAGAAACAAGCACGTATTGGTTAATACATTTTTACTAAAGATTGACAAACACGTTAACAGATTAGAGATGTTTTTCTCCCCGCATTTCATGTCATAAGAAATGAAATTGTACTTCCCGAAGAACAAAAATGACAAGTTTTAATATTTTAGGTCAAAGTTAAATAATTATTCCACTGTTCCGACTGTCAAGCTCAGCACAATTTACAATAAATGTACTATATATTTACAATATTAGCTTGAACCGTAAACAGGGTTCCACGGACGCCCCCCCCTCCACAAGTTGGAATCCGGAGATTTTGTTTTCGTAAAGATGGCGATATTCCGGAGTCGACATCCTGTCTAACTCCTCTGGCTCAGCTGTCGGTACAACTGGATGGTCAGGAGCTGAATTTCGGGATCGCCAGGTTTAATGTCAATGGCTTTCAGGAAAAAGTTCAAGGCGTCGTCCTTCCTCCCTTGGTGGACGCACTCCTTCCCTTTGGAGACGAGCAAGTCATAGGTTTCCACTTCGACCGCGTTCTTCCCGTTCATCGGACACACCTCATCTCTGGCTGTGCACTTGTCTACGCTCTCGTTGGACGCGAGCTCCGGTTCACTCATGGATTCATCGAGGTTCGTGTTCTCTTCAGACCTGCTAGCTGGATCGGAGTCGGACAGGTTTTCATCTTCTTCTTCCTCCAACATCTCTTCTTCTTCTTCAAGCACCTCTTCTTCCTCCAACATCTCTTCTTCGTCCTCTTCTTCTTCCCCCTCTGTGTTCAGAGTCTCTCCCTCCGGTTCCTCTGACTCGGGAGCAGAGTGTGAATTTACGCCTTCTTCCTCTTCAGCTTTGTACGACAGTATCTCCGAGCTGTAACCGTTTTCGTCGTCGGCCTTGGCCTCGTCGTTGTCCGCACTCCGGTTGTCCACGTCTTCGATGATGGAGTGTGCCAGTGACCGCCATGAGGCTACAGAGGTGTTTCCCGCCAAACTTCGTCTGGACATCAGCGGGGTGGAGACCGCGGGTGTCGACTTAGGTGTGGAGGCCCCGAGGACCTGGAAGGAACCATCACACCGTCCCCCATTGACATTTGGTTCCTCCTCGTCGTCGCTATCGTAAATCACTGCCAGTCGTTTCCTCTTGTTGGTCAACATTGACGTATCCATCGACTTGCGGCTGTCGTCCAGGTCGGGCGCGCCGGCTTCTCTGTGTCGGCGCTCATTGAGGGATTTATTTACATCGAAACTCCCGTCGATTTCCAGCTTGGACAAGAGTTCCATCTCCACCGCCTCAGTCTCTGGAGGATCCCGAACATCGGCTTCAGAGAACATGTCGCTGTCCTCCAGCTCCAAGTTAAAGTTTCCTTCGAAGGACTCCAGACCGGCGCTGACTCGAGATGACACGTCTGCTTTAAAACTCAAGTTGGATGCCTGAAGCGAGGACACCCTTCTGTTCTGCGGGGGCGTTTGTTTAAAGCTAACATCTGAGTGCGACGTTAAGTTTTGCTGTAGTTCGTCAGAGGCTGTAGTGTACGCCGGGCTGTTTCCGTCGGCTAAAGGAGGCGCAGCATCGGACACCGTAGACCCGTCCGTTTGTTCTATCGCCGACACACCGGCTACATCCGGTACTGCGGCATCGACAGGCTCAAACATGATCAAAGACTCATCCGCCACCTGCTGGGGAGAAACGGTACCGTCTTCCAAGTAGTTTTCTTCACGTTTGATCTGCTGGTGAACGGGAGATGCCAGGCTGTGCTCGGAAACCTTATCGTGACTCACGTTTCCGACAGGTTTCTCCTCTGTAGTGCTTTCATCGACAGTCAGATCAATAACCCCATTGCTCAGGTTCTGTCGGCCTTCTTTGTTCCAGGACTCGGGCGAATGGGAATCCACCTCAACCAGGGACCCACTTAATCCCTGGTCACGTTGCGGACTCACGAGACTTGACTTGAGATTTCTTGTTCTGTCACTCCATGAGGGCTCTCTGTTGTTGTTGTAGTTGTTGCTCAACGGTTGCCTGAGCCACGCTGGCTCCGTGCTGGAGGCCATGTTCTCTGCCAGCTGCATCTGCAGCTCCGACTCAGCCTTCATCAGGTCCTGTGCCTTCTGCACCCTTCCAGCGATGTAATGGTGCTCCTCCTGATTCTCCGGGCCGTCGTCCTGGTTCACGTCCAGGGAAAACATGAGATCGTGGTCGGAGATGCCAAACATCTCCATGGCGTACAGGTGGGCGATGTGCTCATCGAGTTTGGGGTCCGTCCGACGGTGCATGGAGTGCATGGCTTGAAGCTGAAGCTGGGTGGAGGAGGACCGGGTATCCTGCAAGGTGAAGAGTTCTTTGAGTTCTTGTTTACTGAAGTAACGAAACGGGTTTTTCTTGTCGCCGGTGTTTTGTCGTATGAGGGAGTCCTTGAAGACCTGTCGTCGGTAGATTTTCTCCTCCACTGTGCCGCAGGTGATGAGTCTGTAGATGACCACATTCTCCTTCTGGCCAATGCGATACGCCCGGTCGACAGCCTGTGCATCTGTGGCTGGGTTCCAGCTAGGATCATAGATGACCACCCTGCTGGCGGCAGTCAACGTGATGCCAACACCGCCCACCTGGGTGGTGAGGAGGAACACGGAGTAGCTACTGTCTCTCTGGAACAGAGAGATGCGCCGCTCCCGCTCTGCAATCTGCAAAATGGTGCCATCCAATCTCAGCACTTTGAAGCCTTTGTTGCCCAGGATGCGTTCGATGATGTCCAGCACTTTCCTGTAATGAGCGAAAACCAGGGTGCGGTGCCCTTCCCGTTTCAGCTGTTCGATCAGAGCGAACAGAAACACCAGTTTTCCCGACTCGGAAATCAGAGTTTCATCTGGGACACCGGCGATGCTGTGGGAGTCGGCCTCTGCGTCGGCAGACGTACTCTCCTCCAGGCCCAGCGTGGCAATGGCTCGCGCGGAGAGCAGTCTTGGGTGATCGCACAACTTTTTTAAAATGTTTAATTCCGCTAGGGGTGATCTAGTGGTCAACAGCAGCTCCTTGATGTGGTCCAGGGAAATGAACTGCCTGTAAATGTCCTCTTGGATGGGGCTCAAATACGTCCAGATGATCAGGTCGTTTTTTCTAGTCAGCGTGGGCATCACAGCTCCACAGTGTTCGGGTTGATTTAGCACTCGGCTGTCGTCGTCGTCC